TTATTAAACTGGTTTTAGAAAATCTCTCATAGTTTAAAACCCCTTTTTATTAAACTGGTTTTAGAAAATCTCTCACAGTTTAAAACCCCTTTTATTAAACTGGTTTTAGAAAATCTCTCACAGTTTAAAACCCCTTTTATTAAACTGGTTTTAGAAAATCTCTCATAGTTTAAAACCCCTTTTATTAAACTGGTTTTAGAAAATCTCTCATAGTTTAAAACCCCTTTTATTAAACTGGTTTTAGAAAATCTCTCATAGTTTAAAACCCCTTTTTATTAAACTGGTTTTAGAAAATCTTTCACAGTTTAAAACCCTTTTATTAAACTGGTTTTAGACAAACACCATCTGTTGTTTCTAACTAACGGCTCAATCTCAGGCTTGTTCATTTATGGTCCTCTTTCTCCTAATTTCCCATCATGCACTGCTTTCTGTCAACCTTCACCCAGAAGCCCACAGGGACACCCTGAGTCAGCGTTAACTGGTGTCTGAAGGATGATGCACTGGGCTGGAGTGGATCAGGACCAGGACGCTGGTGGTGCTGGGCTTACCTTTGTGTCCTGCTGCGTCGTGTTTCCAGGACTTGAAGCAGCTGAGCCCCATGCTGCAGCGCGCCCGACCCGGCTCGAGACGCCCTGTGCAAATCTCTGGGGTCGTTTCGATCAATTTGGGAGAGAATTTAAGATCATTCCAAAGATCCCTTCAGCTGCTTGTCCTTCATTTTGTGTTTGTGGTCTTGTTCATTTTGTTGGAGAAGAGAAACGGCACAAAGTGCAGGCTGGATCTCTCATCTTCATGAAACGACTGAGGTCCTTCTGGTGTCCAGACACACAGAGATGTCCTCCATGTAAAGGAGTTGCAGTGAACATCTAAAGGTTTTGAAAATGGAAAGTGATCCAAAGAAAAGTTCACAAATGTTCACGAAGCATTAAATCAAAAGCACAGTGGAGAAACAGCGCGTCATCCGAAACGTAAGGATAGAAAATCTAAAAAGATAAATAGAAGAATGTTTGGATTAACAAAAGTCATCGAGGCCTCGATGGACGAAACATCTTCAAGACCCAAAAACCTTCCAAAAAGCCTTGAAGCTAACGATCTTGATTGTTCTGTGCATGTGCAGCCCAGATTATGACCGAGTGGAGATCTTTGGACACATCAAATCCCTTCAGGTGTGTCCATCCTTTGATGAACCTTCATGTTGGAAAACCCTCTGAAAGTCTGAGGAGGAACGTTTCAAAACTCAATGCCAGTCATCTGCCCTCGATGTTCCACACGGTCCAACAGGGTTTTCTCTGACCGTTCTTCTACAAGACCACCGTTCCTTCAAAACCATTGACGAGTTCCTGACAGACGTTGTCCACCGTCCTCTTTGAAGCACCAGAAGGACCTCTGGACCTCAGGGTGAGATTCTGGTTAAAAACACATGATTTTTTTGACTAATGTTCCTGAGAAGTTCCACCTGAAGGACCCAGACCACCATCTGAATAAGATGCCAGGAAGACTATCAGCCCGCTAAAGATCATCAATCTGAGCTTCTAAATGGTCTGACGTCCTCAGGGACCAGCAGAGGGGACACCACTGGATTTAACTCGTTTCTTTATGTCTTGTCTTTTCTTCAGTATTCCTTTTTTCAGTTTCATCCTCTCAAACCGCCCTGAAGGAAGTTTAGTCAAGTCGTCTTATGTCCTCCGTTCAGACTCCAGCCTCCATATTAGTATTCGTCCCTGCGTCCCCTCTCCTCTCTCGTCCCCTCATGTCCTTTGCTTTATTAGCTCTTTATCTGGACGTCCCGCTCCATCTTCACGTCACGGCCCGCACATCTGGGTGTCCACATCAGCCCTCGTCTCCATGTCCTCCATCACTCCATCCTGTCTCTCTCCGGTTGTCCCTCTCTTTGTCCACCTGGAACTTCTGTCTCCTTCCCACAGTATTCCTCCTCTCTCTTTCTCTCTTTCGCTCTTTCTCTCTTTCCGTCCATTTCCCAGCAGAGTGTGTGCCCCCTGTTGCCCCCCTCCTCATTTACCTCATCAATAACCATGCTCTGAGTGTGTGTGTGTGTGTTTGTGTGTGTGTGTGTTTGTGTGTGTGTGTGTGTGTGTGTGTGTGCACTGTGCATTAAGAAAATTGGATCTCTGCGACGCGGGGCTGTTTTACTGAAGTAATCACAGCTGATGGTAAGAAAGGGAGAGGGATGATGTGGCTGAAATTCTGCCCACTGCAGCACCCCCCCCCCCCCCCCCCCCACTGTCACCATCATTCAAGAGGACGTAAAAGCTCTGAGGCCGCCCGCTCCACTCAACTTTTGAACTCCATTTAGGTACGAGCGTTCGTACGGTCCAATTCAACGAGCCTCTCAGGCTCAGAGTACAGAGCACGGCCAGCGCTCTCTGCTGATCAATACGATCAATCAAATATTATCAGTTCTCCTGCGAGGAAGGACATTTACATAAACTGCATGAAGACATGGACCTCGCCTCACGGAGGATGATTTATGGACTCAGAACGCCCTGATGCTGTTGGAAGCAACGCTCCTCTACCTTCACATCAACAGTTGAGAAAAAAAAAACTGTACGATTATATAAGTGTGTGTGGGGGGGGGGGGGGGGGCAAACATACTTTTTTTTTCTATACGCATTGGAGACGAGGGGACTTGGAAACTCTGTCCATCTTTTGAGTTGCACAACATGAACTGTTCATGTACATGAACATGAGCTGTGTTCGTCATCTCTCCTCCACACTAGTCCTCAGCACTGGTACACCTCAGGGCTGTGTCCTCGGTCCACTTGTACTCTCTATTCACGCATGACTGTACCACCAGGCAGAGCCCAAACGTCATCTTCACGTTTTCTGATGACACCGCCATCTTGGGCCTCATCACCATCAACGATGAGAAGGCCTACAGAGATGAGGTGAAATCACTGACCAGCTGGTGTCAGGAAAATAACCTCTCTCTGAATGTCAGCAAAACTAAGGAGATGATGGTGGGCACGGTCACCACTGGCCACCCTCTGGTTCCATCATGGCACCTGGTCTTAGACAGGCAACAACAAAAACCTCCCTCTGTTCTTGTCCACAGTAACTCCTGCCCACCTGAATATCTTGCACTAAAAACATTTAGGTTTCCTTCGTTCTCTGTTCAGGTCCAGTGCAGAAAAACACTCATCTGGAAAACTACCAACATTTATTATTCAAACTCCTCAGCGACGGGGACATCAACGTACTGCTTGACTGAACATCTTTCCGTTTCCCAACAATAAGGCCATGTTTGTTGATTCTTACGTTCTTAGTCCCAACGGATTAAATTATTATTTATTATAATCTCTACTGTCTGTGCCCCCGTCCCTCAGCGTTCAGTCAAATCAGCCTCTCACTAGCTGGCACTGCGTCCACTGGTTGGATTGGTTTATTTTTCTTTGTCCACATGGGAGTAAAAATACTGGTTAGGTTTTAGTTCAGTGGTTAGTGCTGTTGCATCACAGCAGCAAGGTTCAGGGTTCAATCCCTTGAAACGACTGCAGGAGCTGAAGCTTGGTTTAGAGTCAGTACGATCTGAGAGACATCGAGTTTTATCTGATTTCATCTCTTCAAACATCTGGTTTGTTTCACTTTAACAGATGATTTCAGTTTCATGGAGTCTGCTGGTGTTTGTGTCCAGTGTAGAGGCGGCCCGCTCTGGTCTCTGCACGGGGTCGTGTTCTGGTGTCAGAATCTGAGCTGTGCTGGTCGTTCAGGGCCGGGGTCGTTTTGTTTTTCATCTTTATGACGAAGCAGAGACCGGTGGAGGGGTGGTGGGGGGGGGGGGGTGTCGGATCTTCTGTCAGTGTTCATGTCCTCGAGTCAAACGTTTCTCCAACATCTGGCTGCAGAAACGTTCCACGAAGCAGAGACACCAAACTGTGCAGATGCTCTCCTGATTTACAAGTAGAAAGAAAACGAGTGTCCGGGAGAGATCAGCCTCCAGCAGCAGAACTGAACAGACGGGTCCGGGTCAACAGAACCGGTTCTGTGAGCGCCGTCAGAAAATACTTCAGTTTGAATAAACACAAGAAACATTTTGACTTTAAGGTTCAAGGATTTTTATTGTCGTTCACATCACATGATACATGAGGTGGAACGAAACTGTGTCCTCAAGGTCCCAGTTGCTTCTAAAACTGGCAAAAATATAAAAACAAACAGTACACAAGGATCTAAGACATACACTAAACAATAATTATGTAAAATAATATGGTGTATTAAACAGCAGCCTGAACATGAGTCTGTTGTGAGCAGACGAATACAGCAGCTTAAGATAAGAAATCAGCAGCATGGATAATCAGCAGCATGGATAATCAGCAGCATGGATAAAGACACATCACCAACTAAAGTTTCCTTACAGTGATTCTCCTGGTTAGAGATTCATGAGTCTAACAGCCTCAGGGTAGAAGCTGTTCCTCAGTCTAGTGGTTCTACACTTAATGCTCCTCAACCTCCTTCCTGAGGGGAGTGGGGCAAAAAGTGTGTGCTGGGTGAGTGGGGTCCTTCATGATGCAGGTGGCTTTCTTCCTGCATCTGGAGGTGTAGATGTCTGTGATGGTGGGGAGACTGACTTCAACATCTTCTGTGCAGCCTTCACCACTCTCTGCAAAGCTTTTCTTTCTGCAGCTGTGCAGCCTCCATGCCACACGTTGATGCTGGAGCACAGGATGCTCTCCACTGCACACCTGTAGAAGGAGGTGAGGACTGAGCTTCCAGACCAGCTCGTCTCAGCCACCTGAGGAAGTAGAGTCTCTGATGAGCTTTCTTCATCAGGCTGGTGGTGTTGTTGCTCCAGCTGAGGTTGTTGTTCAGGTGCACACCCAAGTACTTGTAGCTGGAGACCACTTCCACCACTTATCACACGTCAGCTGTTTTAATCAATGATATTTAACTAAGATTAAAGTTTTGTTTTTGTGACTAAAATTACACAAACTAAAAGTTTGAACAAAAAGAAACAGAGTTGAACACAGAAACTGTTGTGAAGCAAGAAACAACTGAAAATGTTTGAAGATGTCGGACGATGCTTCAGCTCCATCTCAGATCTTCTCAGATCATAGTCGTGTAAAAATGAACCAGTTCAAGCAGCGGTGGTGCTTTTTGTAGCACGACAAGCACCTCGAGCAACTTTCACCCACCGTCCTGCATCAGCCTCAGGTGGAGGTCAAAGGTCAGGAGCAGCTCGCGTCTCCTGCGAGGAAGAATGTCCACGGCTTGGTTTCCTGCAGGGTGGGGGTGAGTCACTGCACCTCCTCACTCTGTCCTTGTTTGGCAGCGGCGCAGGAGGAGGAGCAGGCCGGTGTCAGAAAGTTCTGCAGCCCACAGCTGGAGACGAGACGAGGAGGAGGAAGAGGAGGTTCACTCCAAGAGCAGAGATGGGTGAGTTCAAAAACCAGAACTAATCCGTTAAAGAATCAAAACGTCTGAAGTTTGATCTGTCGTTCAAAACTCCTGAGAAATATAAAAATGAAGACGTGCTTCTATTAATGAAGTTCATCAGATCCAGGTCATCAACGTTCAGCGCCGGCGTGAGCGTAACGATCCTGCTGTTGTGTTGTGTTGTTTGGTTGTTGTGTTGTTGTGTTTGTGTT